TGTATTTTCCTTCTAGCCTTCTAACAAAAAGCAAATATCGCTGGTAAACAGAAGAACATAAGAGAGCACTCCGATTCTGTCCGGGCGTAGTTCTCTCATGAACTGACACTGATTTACAACGCAGTCACCCATTACCAAACAAAGAAAGAGCGACGCATGATTTCCTCTCGGCGATAGTCAGAGGCTGTGCAAGCTAACGCCTCATGCAACACCTGCTGCTTCCCTCGCCTCTGAATGCTTCAGAAACTTCTTGCATCTACGATGCACGCTCACTTATGTTCAGTTCTCTTGTTCCTGCAAAGGGGGCCCCATTTGCACCGGATTCGAGCGATCTGCCCAACGTGCAGTCACCACCCAGCAACCCGTGCGAGCTCCGCCGGAACATACCGGAAGCTGGCTCCTTCCGAATTGTGATTGGCGGAGCGCTTGCCCGGCTCCGCCAATCGCCGGGCGGCGTGCCTCCCTGTTGCCAGGGCGCGGAGATGTAGGTAAAAGGTCCAAAAACAAACAGGGCAGCCGGGTCGCTCCATCACCCTCCCCCCCCCTCCTCGTCATGCTGACGGGGAAACGGGAAATAAATATTATTGTTCCCAAAGAAAAAAAAAAAAGTGAGTCTGTTCCAGGGGGCATTTCCAAAACAAGTTCAGCAGGCGCCTGCCAGAAGCTGTCGAGGTGTAGAAACGCGTGATATGACAGATGTTTTTTTCTTGTATTTAAAGCAAGTAAACAAGTGTCGGATCCAGCACAGTTCCGAGGCGCGCTGCTTGTGCAAACTGGCTTCATTTTGTTTTGTTTTTGAAATGGCACTGTCTGTGCTCGTCGCTAAGGTCATGAAGCTCGAGTGTATGTAGACACACACGCACACAGCCGGGATCCCGGAGATGAAGCACCGAGATTAAAAGGTGGCTTTCGAAAAAGCCCCAGTACTCCGGCCCTTTGGTTTTGCTGAGTCGTCGTTTTTTCAGATAACCAGGCGTCTGTGAAAATGCACAGGGAACAAATACACGCACAGAAATGTGCATCAGCCTGACCGCCTGTGGCTGGAAGGCTGCCGGTTCGTGTCCTGTGGCCGGCAGAGGAATCCTACTCCCTTGGGCCCCAGAGCGAAGCCATTCACCCCAACTGATCCAGGGGCGCCGTATAAACGGCTGACCCTGCACTCTGACCCCCAGCTTCTCTCCCTGTCTGTGTGTCTCATGGAGAGCAAGCTGGGGTCTGCGAAAAAGACAAATCCCTAACACAAGAAATTGTATAAAGTGGTCTTATCTAGAGATTTCTTTAGAAATGGCCCGGAAATCTGGTGGTCATGTATGTAATGTTGACTAAGGAGTTAGAAAATTAAAAAAAAAAATGACATTTACATTGACTTTTTTTGAGGGAACAAGTAAAGGTTTATTTCGTGCTGAAAAGAGAAGAAAAGAAAACTTTTCGGCTTTGGAGCTGAAAGTGTGTGAACTCCACAGCCAAAACGTTGTGTTTCTTTTCTTCTCTTTTCAGCAGGGAATAAACCTTTACTTGTTCCTTTACAGCCTACACATGCTGACGCAGCTCCCTACTTGAACTACTTTATTTTTTAAAAAAATAATGAGGCAGAAATAACTACTGTCCTTTTCTTAAGCGATTATGGTTTCCCCGTTTGTTCATTAAACCCTCTCTCGCAATAGAGGCAGCGTCTTTCTTAAAATAACTCTATTGCAGACTGACAAGCCTCATGGGGGTGTTTCCTGATTGTGTCCAGTTTTCCAGAAACGCTGGAGAGGAGCGCCACTTTTAAAGGCGAAGCACAAGAGATCTTTCGTCAGTCCTGCCTATTTTATGCGGACAAGGAATTGCCCCTCAAAAAGAAAAGATTTGCACTGTTTATTTGATTGCAGTTTTCTCAAAGTGTAACCAATACTGCTCATAGAATACGGCTTGTGATCAGGTTTCAGGGCAGATGAGTTCAGCTGTAATAAACGTGTTCCTGTCCCTGAAACCCGTTGAAGGCAGGGGCGTTGAGCAGTTTGGTCACCACACTGATGGGTTAGTCGTACCATCTTATCTGGAACTGTGTGGCTTGTAGTCAAGGTGTTCCCCAGGGTTCCCAGGACAAGCTGTGCTTGGCTGCCAGCGTTACCAGGAATCAGAGGATTAATGATAATGAGGAGGAATGTGACGAAACACAGGCTTGGTACAGGCCTCTGCTGAAGACGGTTTAGCCACAGTATGGATTTTTAGAGTTCTAGGTATTTGAATTTGACTAAATACCTGAACTGGAAGACCTTGTGGCCTTACAGTGCTGGAATACTGTGTTTATGGTGTGATACATCCAGTATCCATTCACGTGCGGCTGGTGATGGACAAACTGACAGGGGATAAGCGTTCCACCGGGATGTGGTGAAAAGGTGAAACGCGCTTCCGATAGTTATCCGGGCTGGCAGTTCATTTCGTCCTTCGCACTTGAGAGTTATGTTAACATGAGCGCAGTGGTATTGCCTTTAGGCCAGACGTATACAGTTACAGGTGAGAAGTCCTACAGGTGAAGCCAGGAGCAGACAGGGTTTGCATAAACTAAAAATAGAAGGTGGCCTTTTTTTCTTTTTTACAATAATGAACATTTCCTTATATATTGTTCCTTCACATGGCTTTGCCAATAGGAAACAGAATGAGCCTTTTTGATTTATGGAACTAAAAAAATTGGATTTTTACTAGTAGTCCAGCAAGGATATAGGCTTTTTCCCGAGCTGACTTACTGTGTGTCCCAGATTCCTCTTAAAGTGACTGTGCGTGCACATGGGAGACAGTATTTCCTACAGTGCGTAATTAAAACTAATCTTATTTCGTCCCGTGATACCCTGAAACAATATATCCATTTGTTCTCACTCAAGGAGCACGAGAACTGGTTGGTTAGCCATCATTTTGTGAAGGTCACAGCGGTCACTGACTTCACCCGATATCTTAGTTTAACCAGGACAGTTTGTCTTTTTGTTTCACAAAGCAGATTCCTTGTTGAATTCAGGGCCTGACAACTTTGCCTGTTTACAAATCTAAAATTGATGTTTAACCTAAAAGCAATTTCCAGTGATTATTCCCAATTACAAATCTATACACCACCTGAATGACTTCAGTTTGAGCTACCCGCCTGCATTTTTTAAATTCTTTCGCAAATTAATTAGCTACAAAATCCACAACGTGGTGAAAGACTCACTTCTCACAGATTTAAGGCTTTTTGTGTTCACACTTCAAACCAAGAACCAAGCCTTCCTGCTCTTTGACATTAATTTTCTAATTGATTCATCAGAAATTCACATCTGTTGAAATTCACTAGCTCTCCAGTAAAATCTTGTGCAGAGCAGATGGCCGTTACCAAAGAACACACAGCTCAGTAGCAAAAGGGTTTAGATCCAGAGAAGCTTATAAGACACCCTGAGCGATATGGACGTAGTGACATAGAGAATCAGCTCTTTGTTGGTAAATAAACACTTAAAAAGCACACATAGGAAACTCATTTGTGATGATCCTGAGCAGGTCTTTTCAGACAGCTAGAAGTGATTGCTCTTCATTGACATAAGAGGGGCAAACTAATTTCATGCTCTTTGGGACTGAAGGTTCTGACTGGTACCACCTGCAATCAATTGCTCAGGTCCAATTCCTGCCCAGGCAGGCACTCATCAGAGGTCAGGAGACTCACATGCACCATGCACTCTCTTGGAGCTCTGCTGTTCAAAAACAAACCTTAAAATGCACAGCGATGCTACTTTGAGCCGTATTTTTCTCAAACCAAAACTTCACCTGCTTCCTTTACTTTCTGGTGAACAAAGTGAGCAGGTGCTAAACATTTCACAGGTGGGCAGGAGCATAGAACTACAAAAACTGAAGAAGGAACTGAAGCACGAATGGAGTCCCCAAGAGCATCGTGAAACTGAATAGTGTAGCCGAGTGGGTAATGGGTTTGAGCTGGTTAATTCTACAATGCGATTTTGTATGGTGTAGCAACAGTGGAGATGCTGTTTAAATGCCTCCCATTCAGATTGCTTTAGTGGTGTGAATTTGCTTAAGACAGCACTTGCAATAATGACCATGGCTCCAAAATGAATCTGATTTTTCCCCCCCCTGACAAACCCAATATATGCCATCATGTTTAATCTAATATATAAATGCAATTTCCTGTGACAGGCAGTAACTTTGTTTTAACAAAGCATCTTTCCTTCCAAGAACTAAGCAAGGATACATTCCGCATTGATCCATGCTTGCAGAGAACACCAGACTTCTCTTAGCTTAACTCCATCCTGCAGAAATACCCTACCTGGAGAGTCCCAGCGGCACACCACTAACTCCGAATCCTTTGAAGATTCAGCAACTCAGGAACAAAGGGATCTGGTTTTCAAATCCCAGTTTGGAACTCCTCTATATTACAGAATGCAGCGGTATCAATAGTGGAACAGGTGAGGTGAAGAAATACTGTTGGCATTTGCTTATTGCGGGAGTTTTCTCTACCATCAATAACACAGCAGGGTAAAATGCCTCAGCCCAGACAAGATGTGTAAAAAAAAAAAAAACACAACACGTGACCTACTTTCTCTTATGTAAAGAGTTCAGTAGTAGAAGAAGCATATGCATGTTGGGGCAGCTGCCTGGAAGCAAAATGACTAACGCTGCTGCAGTGGAAAGGGTCAGGTTAACGATGGCTGAAAGGGGAATGTCAGCAGAAGGGCTCGGCGGGGGATGTGGTGGGGTGACTCTCCTCTCACGGCAGGAGCCAAGAATGTAAAACATGGCTGAAATCAGGTCGCACACAAGCAACGCAGGCCCAGGCAAAAGGTTACTCGCGACGACCTCCGTTGGCTCCAGGCATAATCTGCACCTGGGGCCCTGACCCATTAGCTCCAGCTTACAAGAGGTGTGAGCAGACAGGGGTGTGTTTCAGTAAGGGCTGCAGCCTCATACATATGTCAGCTGGGGGAGGGGGAGATAGCGATTGTCTCTTGCTCTTCTCAGAAATCAAACTGAAGCATTCACGCTGTGTGAAAAATATAACAAATGTTTTAATGTTCTGATAAAAACCACCATGTTTCATCGCTTCAGCTTTGTTGATCGCCAACAAAGGTGTCATAGAACCATATTACACAGTGCTAGACAGCCAGAAGCAAAAAGATAAATCGACTCCTTCACACATCCGATGATAAATCTACACGAGGCAGACAAGGGGCCCACGTTCTTACAGAAAAACTCAACTTGAACTTGGACCTTGGTTTCAGAAGACAGTGTACCGTACACACGAACCAGTACGCAAAACAAGTGGACTACACTGGCATGACGAACTTTTAAAAACGTTGCTTCTCTTGTAAAAATGTACACTTCCTGGTTAGCGTTATATAAACATTACATAATTGATTAGCAGTCAATATACACAGAAAGTACTCAACTAACTGGCATCGCAGGATTTTAGGGAGGCCAACCAAGACCATCCGAGAACCCCTCACCCAGAATGGAGGTCACCAAGCTTGAGTCATGCCCAGCAGAAGTTCGCTACCTGCTTTAGTCCATTCTAGTCTTATTAAAAAGTGGAAGCTGGACAGTGGCAGAAGGCATTAACAAAGGAATGTTAAAGACTGGCTCTTACAACCCCACCATTATGATATAGGAGGATAAGAAAGTGCCAGCCTTTAAAAAAACAAAAAAAACAAAACACAACCCTAGGTTAGAACTTGTAAATTGCAATTAATTCCTCGTGTTAAGTTGACCAGTCAACTTTTAAAAGCGCACATCTTAAACGGCTTTCTATTTCCTTGGAGAAAGAAGAAAATTACAGTACTAGTTTTAGACCCTGTGGCCCTATTAACAAAAGAAACCAGGGAGGAGAGGAGGAGAGGAGGGGGGGGATTCAGTCCAGTTCAGGGTGTTTAGTTCTTGTACTCCACAGGTTCATCTCCCTCTTCCTTCAGTAAACATGTGCGGATCAGCGCCTCCGTCACGCTGTAGGGGTCGCAGTTGGCGGAGGGGCGCCGGTCCTCGAAGTAGCCCTTCTTGTCCTGGCCCACGGCGCGAGGGATGCGGATGCTGGCCCCACGGTTGGCCACGCCCGCGGAGAACTCGTGGATGTTGGAGGTTTCGTTGTGACCCGTCAGGCGCCTGGCGTTGTCCAGGCCGCCCTTGGGGTCGTAGGCACGGATGTGGTAACGGTGTCTCCTGCTCAGCCTCTCGATCGACTCCTCGATGTACCTGGAAGGCAAGGGAGGAGGGGGATCAGTCTCGCTCATCTGCTGTGAGTCTGTTCAGCGCCGAGGACAATACCACCCCTTTCCATGGACTCAAGGGGTTCACCTCGGGGTGCGAGCGAGGTATTTGGATTAAAGCATCATAACTGGGGACACATCTGTGCCTTCAGAGGGACTTGCGCATGCAGCCCTGCGGTCAGGAGTTGTTCGGTTGTTGGTTGTTCAGTCTTCTTCTTTTATGGTGGGCCGCCGACGAGGCTGCTCCCCTGGTGGGTGATGGTGTTGTGGAGCAGCATCATGCGTCAACCAAAATTGTTACGGTTTGTTAATTTAACCCGTTGAATTCTTTTGGGTTGCGGGGACCAGTTCCGAGTTAAAATCATAAATGTACGTTGCTGCATGAAGAAGGTTATGCCCAATACTAATAATCCCCAACTCATGGGAGAACATTTACATTAAGACCAGGGGAATGGCAAAGCAGTCATTCGACCTTTCCAAGAAAAGATGCTTTGACCAGAACTTACTTCAAGCCGTTTTCTTCCCTCATCTCCTTGGTGCTGAAGTTGGTGTGGCAGCCAGCACCGTTCCAGTTCCCTGGGATGGGTTTGGGGTCAAATGAGGCCACGACTCCGAAGTCCTCACAGACCCTGTGCAGAATGAACCTGGCAATCCACAAGTGGTCTCCCATGTCGATTCCTTCACTGGGGCCAACCTGGAACTCCCACTGGGAACACAAACATATTGATTAGCACCCTAAAATAGCCACCAAAGGTCCAAGCTGGTGGTGTTGCACAATGTTACTACAGATATGACACTGAAGCATGTTTGCCAACAGGTCAAAGGACTCCGGATGTTCTGATCGTGGACAGTAGTGGCATCAAATGTTGATAACCCCGCTGTGTGCTTAGCCTGACCCCTGACAGATAAACCCAGACTGCCAGACTTCAGATGATGCATTAAGAGCTTTAGACCAGATAAGAAGTGGCATCACCAACACCCAGCGCAAGACTGCAGACTCTGCCGGATGAGATCTTGATGCCAAATGAGGCAGCTCACCCGGTGAGTGAACATCTCTGCTTATAAACCCACAGTTTAAGTCTGTACACCCACGTCACCCTGTTGCTTTGAAATCGCATTTTTCTTACGATTACTGTGATGGCAGCAGGACTGGCCAGTCCACTTGGTGCTCTGAGCTCTTGTCACTGCCCTAAAACGGCCACTCTGGGCAGCAGGTTGTTCAGCCTTATCACCGTAGCAGTGCTTCATGAAATCAGGCCGGGCCTCCTACGCCCTGCCGTGAAAGACGCCGGTCAGCCCGGGCAGGGCAGAGGGGCGAAAGGTGAAAGCTTGCTCACCTGGGCTGGCATGACTTCAGCATTGGTGCCACAGATCTGAACTCCGGCGTACAGGCAGGCTCGGTAATGAGCTTCTACAATGTCTCGCCCATAAGCCTTGTCAGCACCCACCCCACAGTAATAGGGACCTGCCAAAGGAAAAAAAAAAAACGAAACGATTTAACACATGAAACAGTTTTATGCCCTCAACTAGTCAGGCACAAAGGTCGACGATTTCGGCAGTTACAGCAGCATTACATTCCCGGGGACAGCTGGGAGAGCAAGAAAGCAAAGTCTCCTCACCCTGGGGTCCGGGGAAGCCATTGGAGGGCCAGCCAAATGGGTGGCCGTCCGTGCCCAGTATGGTGTACTCCTGCTCCATGCCGAACCAGGGGCGATTGTTGGCCACCATGTCCATGATTCTCTTGCAGGAGCTGCGGAGGTTGGTCTCTGTTCAGGAGGACGGAGAAGCAGGGTTGAGAAGGGTCACAAACGCGAGGAGAGAGAGAGAGGCCTTCTGGGCCCCCCCAGGAGTCTAACTGATGCCAGGATCTTCTCCATCCCATTTTACAACAAGATCAACTAGCTTCAGCTATGACCGGGTGGTGTCCCAGACTCCCACAACCCTTCATGTAAAGACGCGCCTGTTTCCAGGTTTGAGACTACTCCACTGCTGGCCTCCGATCATAAACAAGCTTAAGTCTCCCCCACGGTGTTTAAACCCTGTTTTTTTTTTTTTACAACGGTCATGTCCCTGAACGGGTTGGTGCAGGTCTCCTGGGCGGCGCCAGCCTACCTGCAGGCCTCCTGTTGTACTTCAGCACTTCACACAGGACCAGCTTGTTGGGGTCCTTGCGGAAGGGGTCCCGGTACATGGCCGCCGGGATCAGGTACATGTCGCTGTTGGAGCCCTCGGACTGGTAGGTGCTGGAGCCGTCGAAGTTCCACTCGGGCAGGTCTGAAAAGAGGCACGGGCTCAGGAACTGACTGCGCCCCCTCCTGCACGGGCCAGCTCTTATTACCCCCCTCCCCCTCTCACACTGCCATCTGCCCCATCAAGAAGTGGTGCAACAGCATTAAAATCCCCTCCAGACAGCAGCCCCGCCTACAACTCCTGTTTCAGTGCACTCTTTTTTTTTTTACCATTTAGGATGTGACATCCTGGAAGAGTAAATCCAGGGATAAACACACAGCGCAAACACTGCCGCGGGCTCTCGGATCAGGCAGGGCTGGGAAAGCCGGAGAACAGGGGCGGGCATCCTGCTGTGGCGCCTGACCCCTCCACTCCCGGCCCCAGCTTACCTTCGATGCTCTTGGGCTCGGAGTCCAGAGTCCGGGTCTTGCAGCGCAGCCCCTCCCCGGTGCCGTCGATCCAGATGTACATGGCCTGCACCTTGTCGCCCTGGGGCAGCTCCATGTACTGCTGCTTGACGGCCTTGCTCAGGCTAGAGCTGGCGGAGGTGGCCATCTTGATCATTACAAAAGACCTGGGGGGAGGGAAAAACTCATTTGTACATCGCTTTTCACATTAAAAACAAGTAAAGCTTCCAATCAAGCATGGAAGCTTATGTTCTAGACAATTGGCTTGGGGTCTTGGATGCATTAAGCCACGGGCTTGTTTGCAAACGGGATCGTGAAGGTCGGTAGCCAGCCAGCTCGTAAAGAAGAAATATGTCCCCCCTCCCCCCAGCCTTGCTGAGGAACTGACTGTAGACTTACAGGCTTTGTAAGGCACGTTAACAGGTCTCCCGGCCAGGCTGAAAAAAGGATACCCCTCCCCCCGGGGGCTCCAGAAAAGGGGCAAACGGCGTGGCTCTCACGTGGTCCCGACCCAGCACCCCAACAGCGCCGGCCGTCACCCCCAAAAACCCGCAGCCGGGGGGGCGGGGCAAAAAGCGAGACACCGAATTTAACTGCGGCAGACGAATGCAACAAACGATAAACCGCTTCCTCTGCACAGTTTCGACACCTTTGTTTAGAAAAGGGTGATTTTACGGTGTACAAGCCGCGTCTCCGCCTCTGAAGACCAGGAACATCCGCGCTGCCGCCGGTCGCCATGGCGACGGCAGCGGCGCAACGACGCGGCGGGGTTACGTCACCTCGAGAGCCGAGCCGGCCCGACACCGGTACCGGTATCGGTACCGGCACCGCCGCCCGGCCGAACAAGCGTGTCTCCAAAACCCAGACGGCGGCAGCTGGCGTGAATCACCCCCTCCCCGGCCAGCCACACGCAGATCCTCCCCCGGCGCCCACCGTCCTACCCACACTGGTCCACGGACACACGGCGCAGACCCGGACGGTACCGGACCGGACCCGCTGTCACGATCCCAGCGGCGGTTTCCCGGCCCACAAAAGAGGGGCAGACGGCGGCCAGGAGGTGACGGATTACCTGGTATGGAATAAAATTCACGATAGGAGATCAGGGACTGGCGTGGTCTCCAGATGGCCGTCTCGAAGTGCCCCGTTAGTAGATCTTTCATTCTCCTACCCCGAACGCAGGGGCGACGCCGGTATTTATACCGTTGGGGGGAGGGATCCCGGCGCCTGTGATTGGCCAGCGGGGGGAACATGATCCGCTCGTGCTCGGGCGCTGGAGCCCGCATGCGGCGAGGCCATTGGCGGGCCGGCGCGCGAGACAAATAGTGGTGGTGGTGGGGGGGGCGGACGTTCGCCCTCGAGCGCCGCGTGCCGTGCGGCTCGAGATGCTGCCTTTGTCCGCGGCGCTTCCCCGCGCCCAGGCGACTGCGTTCGTGTGGATGCGAAAGGCACGCGTGGTTTTTTAATGAATTTATTTTATTTTCCCCCACCCCGGGCGGGTCGCGATCCCGAATTTCGGCGTGAGCATCTCTTGTCCGGGACGCCCGGGGTTAGTTTGAGGAATTGGGCAGCGTCCGCGCCGGGTCTGTCGCCACCATGTGGATTTCAGCTAAAGCTCAGGTCCACCTGAATCTTTCTCGCCCCGATCCGGGCGGTACCGCGCTGAAGGGGGAGAACCCTGTTCGTGCTGCGGGCGGTGCCGGTACCGGCCGACACAAGTGTCCCCACAGACGGGTGACACGGCTCCCGGCGCGGCTGCAAGGTCTCAGCGTGAAGCTACAAGTAGCAGATCGCTGTGTGGGGGGGATTTGTATTGCAGCGAAGATGCCGCTTGTGCGTTCATTGCTGGCTGCGCTGATTCAAGCAAAGGGAATATTTTTTTTGGGGAAAAAAACTGCAAGTGTCGATTTAGTGCAGTGTCGCTGCAGCGGGGGAGCAAACTAAAGTCGAGCCCCCGTGAGCCGAGTTTGAGTGTGGTGGTGGTGGGGGGGGTCGAGGGTCCCGTTTTTCCCAAATTCAAGGAGCTTTATTGTCAATGGCCGACGGATTACAGTGTGGCTGAAACGGAAACAATTCGCAGAACATTTACAGTACAAAAAAACCACCTTCCTGCCCATTTACGGCCATCACATGCAACGTTATAGGGACAGGGACAGGCTCAGTTATTGATCTACTCCGACTACACGCTGTTTGTTACGAAAATAATCAAAATCGTCACTATATTTCTGCAGAAATGTCTCAGTTTCCTGTAGAAAGTCCCACAGAAGCTAGTTTTTCGTCTTTTGTCTTAGACGCCGATGAATTCTTAACATGCAGTGTTACAGCAACATGTGTATAGGCAAAGCATATGTTTGGGGCTTGTTGGAAGTTTTATGAGGACGGTTCGAAACAGCCAGATCACAGCGCGGCTCCGAGGCAGGAGTGAGCTGCTCTCACACCCGGGCTGTTCCGTGTCAGTTCTCTCAAACCTACTGTCCGTCACTACCAAGAATGTAAGGTTTACAGAAGGACACAGTCCCTTTATCTTCCCTTCTTATCGGAGGTAAAACATGATAGAATTGCTAAGCTAACTGTCTGGTTAAAATTTAAAAAAGCGAACCACAGAGAGCGGGGCGCGTTTGTAACGATGAAAAAAGACATTTCATTGCCAGCGACTACTGCTGCATGCTGTATTGTTGTGCATTTGATAAATAAACTTTTGATCGATAACCCTTGCCGGACGCCGGCCGGCCTGTGGCACCAGAGACGAGCCCCAGATCCAAGATGGCGGACCAGGCGGTCTCAGTTGCGCCCTTTTTATGACCCGGGCGACAGACCCAGGACGGCTCTGCCTTGCTGGGCGCTCTGCACTCTGCCCATGCTGTGTTCTGTACCACAAACCCATTGCACGG